TACACACACATATAAAACTTGCTGGCAGTCTCGTACAGCTCTCAGCGCCACTACGGCTTAGTGGCAACTGCAGGAGCTTTGGCACTACCACCCTGTCACAATTGACTTTTGCGCTGTTCTTGCACCCGTCCACTAGGCGGCGCATTTAGCAGCTCTTCCAAATTCCAAATCTTTAGTCTAGTTCAGTGTAAGCCCAGCAGCATGTCTTGATAGTTTTGCTGAAAACTGGCCTATATGAAAGGGCTAACGTGATGTCACCAACTGATCATGTGAATGTGATGAGTGGAGGTCTGTAAAGAGATGTAGAAAGTCTGATACAACTGTGACCATTGTAAGCGGAAGTTATTGCACCTTATTTTTCATGGCGAATTCAGATTTTGAGGGTTTACTCCATGCTTTTGATGTACAAAAAATATTTTAGTAACTTTTGATCTTCAATACCTCAAGACTCTGCTGAGTGACGCTGGAGTTTGTATGTCAGGAGGAATTTGCTCAGATACATGTCTAAAAAAGACAAAATGTTGGCTTTCATCCAAAATGGCCAACTTCCTGTTGGGTTTGGACCATGGTTTCAAGAGACTTTGTTAGCGTCATAACTTTTATTTGGCTATGCATTATGAACAAGCTGGTAAAATTGGAAACCAATAGATTGAAATCCCTAGGAGGAGTTTGATCAAATGTGGAGGCTCTAATTTATGGTGACAATGCAGTAAAAATCGGAACTTCAATCCAAAATGGTCGACTTTCTGTTTGGTGCAGAGCATGGCTGCAAGAGACTTTTCTGTAGGTCTTGGAGAGTTCTAGAAGAGGACCAAATTGTATGCCTCTGCAAAAAAGGTTGATGAGGAGGGTGTTTTGAAAGTTGCAGAGTGGTGCAGTTGAGCTGTTTCTGTTACGATTTTTGTGACAATGTTAAAATGCATAAATTTTATGCAGGCCTAATGCGACCACCAAATCTGGTAAGTTTTCAGATATGTTTAGGCCTCCAAAAAGCCAATTAATTTAACTGAAACATAATGAAAAACAGGGATTACAATAGGCCATCACAGCGCATGGCTGGTCAGACCTAAATGTAAAACATCCAAGGAAGTGAATACGTTTTATGGGCTCTGTACTTGTATAACCCTCAGTCTACCAAGGAGCTGTGTTGTGTTGAACAAATGCTTTTAATGCAGAGATGTTTTTCTGTGAAACACTGCCGCCTTGTGGCTGTATTTAACATTATCTGTTTCCATACTCTTTTTTTGTACCGTCAACATGTCCCACATTTCTTTTTATGACTGATTCATTTGAACTTTTGGCTCAGAGGAAATTTATATTAAGAGCTTCATGTCAGACTGCAATTTTATTATTAAATTTGAAGTCAGGATGCATTTGTTTTTCTGGAAGCCATTTAGTTTCAGTTGTTTTCTAATTAAAATATATTTGTTTCTTAGGATGTTCCACAGGTTCCCATTCTGTATTTCCCGAAATCTAACCCAGGGCTGAAGAGGAGAAAGAGAGACTGGGTTATCCCTCCTATGAATGTTGCTGAGAATCACAGAGGACCTTTTCCCCAGGAAGTTGTTCAGGTAAGAGAAATTAAAATGAATAGGCTTGTGTATGTATGAATGATGCTAGAACAATGACATTCAGTGTAATTTTATTTGTTCTTTCAATTGTACCTTGTATTTTAAGATATATTCCTCCTCTGTTTTTGTGCGTTGCTTAAACGTGTCTCAACCTTTGTCTGTGTTCAGATTCGCTCTGATGCCGATAAAACGAAGAAGATCTTTTACAACATCACTGGTCCTGGAGCTGATCAGCCTCCTGTTGGTCTTTTCACCATGGACAGAGACACTGGTTATCTGTATTTAACACAGGGACTGGACAGAGAGAAACAGGACAAATACACGGTCAGTGTTTTCTCTTGTAGCTTTAAGCCTGATGCTCTTCTGTTCGCTGTTTGTTAAAGATGAAAGACTAAAGAAAGTCAAACAATTTTCTGAAACAATTCTCAAGTTTACAAGAAAATACTCAAAAACTGTCATCTCTGATTTAATACACTGCATATGGTCTATAAAATGGGAAAGATAAAATATAAATTTTCTTGCAACATAAAATCAAAGAGACCATATTATTCCAATATGTTAAAATTATCGTTCTTACAGCTTAAAGCCCATGCTGCGACAGCGGGAAGTACTGAAAGTGCAGAGGATCCTATGGATATTGTAATCAATGTAATTGACCAGAATGACAACAAACCTATTTTCACCATGTCTACCTATATGGGAGAAGTTCCAGAGGCCTCAGAAAAAGGTAAAGTCCCAGGATTCAGATAATGACAATGCAAAAAGAAATTTTTACTTTTTACAAACTAAATTATAATTATGCTTGGAACTTTTGATTTTACCCTTTGAACAATGTTAACACTATGTATGGCCCACAAAACAGTGGATCTAATCTGCTTTCTTTTTTCTTTTTTTTATTATACTAAATATCAAAGTCAGGATGTGAC